TGTGGAGGCAGCAGCTGGAGAGCTGCCATGGCTTGCGGGAGTTCAGATGAGTTGACCGTTGTCTGCAGCGCCTGGGCTCGGAACCCCCCAGATCCCCAACATCCGCAAGGGCCAACAACCCGTCCAAGACCGTCCAAGCAGTACAAGGCACGGGTCCCACAGACGGCAGCAGCTCTACGACATCACCAGGCTCCAGCACGGGCTGATGCCCTAGCAGCACCTGAAAAGACTGAAAAGAGCTCACCATGACACCACCATGACACAGTGACGCCACGGCATCTCATCACCCACTGCGCTGCACCTGCAACGCCATGCCGCCCAAGAGCCACTGGCATTGTGGCGAGGTGCCCATCCTTCAAGTAGCGTAAGCAGAGAAAAGCCGCACTGTAGGACGGATTTGGCTTTACAGCTCATGACGGAAGCATGCAAGAATCCTCTGTAAAGATGCTCCAGACAGCACGGACTCGCATCCGGAGAAAGTGGTCACATTTACCTTGCAAGACAGCATGAACGCATGAACCAGAACTGTCAACGTCCGCATGGCACACCATGCCAGGATCGGTCACATCATGTTATGGGTAACAACTGGGGAGAGTCTCCCCCAAAGGCGTCCGAGTGACAGGTTCAGTGAGTCGAAGCAAAAGGGTCGTAAACCCACGAGCCAGCTCTGCAGACTCTAGAGCCACGGCATCGGCCTCCAAACTCCTAACAGTCGAGGCGCAACCAAGTGAAACACTTGAAACACTCGGACACTGCAGCTTGATTGCTTCATTGCGCTTCGCCGCTTCGCGTCCTTAGAAGACACCACAGAAAGGCTGCGGTCCATTTCCTGGCGAGGCCAGCGACCCCGCCACTCATCGGCACCTTGGCCAACAGACTCTAAACCCATTTCTGCGTGGAAACTTCGAGTGTCAACTGAGTCTACGACCACCAAGCAAGCATGGAGGCAACAAGGCTGGCGAATGCCCGTGATGCTACGATTGCTGCCCAACCGTTGAACAAACCGCGAGAGCCAAATGGGCCAAAACCAGCGACTGTTCAGCGCCAATGCTGCGTGCCCTCCTGATTCACATCATTTCACAACTGATTCTCTGCAGATCTGCATCTGGCGCCTTTCTTGGAATCACACAAAAATGCTTACATGTAGTGCAGGTTGTGCCTTTACTTTGTTTTTGTTTTTCAGCTCGCTATTGCCAGCTACTGCCTTTTGCCGGATTCAGACTTACGGATCGAAGATTCTTGAGCAGACGTCTTGGACCCGACAAAGAAACTTGACGTTAGCTTGAGTTATGGCTTTTCGAGTCGAGGCCCCTCCGGCGAAATCATGCTTTCAAGTTGGGCCCGGAAGGCCCAACTGCTTTCAAGTTGGGCCCGAAAATTTTTCTCGGGTGAATTCATGGTTTCAAGTTGGGCCCAAGAAATCTCTCCGGTGAAATCATGGTGCTGTCACACACTCGGCACAAGACAGCTGGCATTCACGTACTTACGGTTAGGAGAATGCAAACTATGGACGTAAGCCATGCTTCCATAACATATGCATATGCGGCATTCGTGTGATGTGTATGCTTCACATGCTTGATACCTCTCGCTAGGGCTGGGAAAACTGTGCTCCGGTGAAGGCTCCCCTGTACTAGACAGCAAACTTCTTCACTCTCGATTGCATGCTGTCATCTTAGAGGCCGGACTAGAAGCGTTGTTTCTAATTTTGTCCGAGGACTCCTGTCTTCCAGGTCCGAGCAGCAGTTTTCTAAATGTTTGCCTTACTCTTCGGCGATCTACCGTGTAGCCGAGACACAATACACACGATCGGTGTGCCAGTTGTTTGATGTCCCCACTGATGGGCCAATGCAGCTCTTGGCTACTGGTGATATTTTGCAGACGTCAAGAAAAACAGGACTGCTGGCTAGCCAACAAGGGCCAACCCCAGACAGCAAGAACAAAGACGCGATGAAGTGCAGCTGCCGACCCTCGTTTGTGACGTTGGACTGTTCCCCCGCGAGCCCTGCATCCCCATGGTCTCGGTGCCGATCTAACTTACCGACGAAATCTCTAAACTCCTCGAACATCCTTGAACCCTCACATGCAAGCCCTGCATCAATTGACAACCGGATCGAAACATATCGAAATATGCAGCGTGCTCCCCTTTTTGAATGCAAAGCCGTTGAGGTCGAATTGCTCCTCAGGCCGAGCTACACCTCAGCCACACTACTTGGAAAGGGAGGGATACTTGGTTTAAGCCTCGGGGTACTTGACCAGTTCTCATTTCGGGACATAGTGCCAAAGGATACGTCGGCTTTGTGAAGTCTCCCGTATCTAAGGCACCTTGAGGGCACAATGGGCCGATTGATCCCTGAAGACGTTTCAAGCATTCTTAAGGACCTTACAAACCAAAGAGGGCACCAAGAAAACGAAACGCCAGGCAAGTCGCTGCATCTGACGTGTGCCAGGCAGGAGCTCATCGAGGAGTTGGGGCGCTCTCCTCACCTTTACCACGGCGAGCTCTTAGGGCACCAAACAGCACAGCATGCATAGCAGCATGCATAGCAGGCATAGCATAGCAGCATGCAGTCAGGTCCCCGGTAACTCATCGCCCAATGTCTAATCAAAGCCTGCTCTCATGCATCCAAGCATCTATGCGGTGAGCCTTATGATGCAGGAAGTGTGCGGTAAACACGACATTGCGGAGTCAACAGGTCACCCGGTGGTCAATTGCAGCTGGAGAAGCTTCTCCCGTCTGGCCCATCAATGACGTCATACTCTGCACCTGAGAGAGCAGGGCACATATGGGCACGTTTTGGTCTTTCGCTTCGGCCTCGGCCGTTCCCGTGGAGACCCATTTCCCCACCGTAACCCCCTGCGTAAACCTCCCCTCGCCTGATTCAGTCTGGAGGCTTTTGCAGAGCGGACTTTTTGCTTGGAGAGTGCGCAATAGACAAAAGCTGTGTTGTACAAATGCAAGGACAGGGATCCCTACAGGCCCCTCTTCACCCACCTTATATTTTGGACCCGCAACCCGGACCATCTCTACGCCCCCAAGGCACTCTATCGGCCAGAGAGAAACCCAGGCCGAAAGCCCCAGCAAACCCGTGAGTTTCAGTTTTTGAGGGCTGAGGATGTTTGAGGGTTTTCCCGTGACATTCTCGGGACGTGCGTATCGCATGCGAGCGAACATTGAAGAGGCCTCAATCTTCCTAAATGAACTTTGGCACCTAAAGAGCCACCTCTATCCCCAAGAGCCCCCAAGGACTGCTTAGGGCCGAAGGAAAAATCAAGGCCCGGCTAGCCTTGAGCCCACCCCCGCTACGCCTTCAGGCACTCCTGGAGGTTGGAGCGGCTGTTGCTTGGGGAGTGGCATCGCCAACCTCGGACTGACAAGTCTGGCAGAGACTTACAGGCGACTCGAGGGCGAACAGCAAGACCCGGCAAGACCTAGCAAGACTAAGCAGACCTTGTGCTGCCAAGCTGCTGGGATCCCGGCCTCAGTGTGCTCACCGATGGTGGGACGAGCGGCACGCCTGGACGGTCGCCGCGTGTCATCACTGGTGGAGTCACTGGCTTGTCCAGGACACCGTTCGGCCGGGGAGGTGGCAGGGGTGCCTGCGTCGGTACGCCTGAAAGCGGTGGTGGTGCCAAGGGGATCCGATGCTCAGCCGGTGCGGGTGGCACGACGGGCTGCCTTGGCTGGTCTCCATCAGTTCTTGGCGGCCTTGGCGGTGGTGGGGGTTGTGGCGGGCTCATCGACTTGGGAGCCTCGGTCCAGGCACAATTTGCGGCACGAACAACAGAGTGCCACGCAAGCGGATACCTAAGAAAACTCTAGACTTGCCTTTCTTAAGATGAGCCAAGGCACTGCTTGAACGAGCGCAAAGCTTGGACGATGGGAGAGTTGGTTCCACTCATGTGGATCGAACTCACGGGCAGATGAGGATGGGGGCAAGGTGGGTAAGGGCTGTTGACTTAGTCTGCCACTGCT